CGAGCAGAGAAGCGGTGGTGCCCAGCTAATGTGTGAGGAGAAGCCGAGGCCTGCCCGTGTGATGGGCTGCCATGTCTCTCTCCCCTGCAGATCCGTGGCAAAGGCCTGGACTGGCCTCTGGTCGTGAAGGACTTCAACCTGCTGCGCTGGCTGGGAAAATTTCCGCACCAGCCACTACCCCTACGCTGAAGAGATCATGGACCTGTGCGATGCCTATGGCATCGTGGTGATCGACGAGTGCCCGGGAGTGGGGATTAAAATGCCGTAAGCATTCGCTCAAAGAACCCTTCCCCTTCCTCCTATGTTCATCCCTGCTGCAGCGTCCCCCTCCCAACCCGCAGTGTCCCCTGTCCTGATAATGGAAGTACTTTGCTCTGTGTAGAAATCAGCCTGTTGCGCCACGTATGCCTTGTGAGGTTGGGCAACCAGAGGGCATTTTGCCACACGGCCATCGTGTCATTTGGCCTGGCTCGATTAATGAGCCCAAACCATGGCCCTGAACTGTATGGCAGGCTTTGGGGAAATAGGGCAGAAGCCATATTCAACGTCAAGGCTCAGCCACGCTTATACACCCCAGAGGCCTGAATTTTCACAGGGAAAGGCAAAGGGCATGGATTTTTATACCCTCACCTCAGCAGGTCTCGCTTTCTTTTGTCTTTAAGAGAGAGCTTTGGGAACAAGTCCTTGCAGCATCATCTGGTGGTGATGGAGGAGCTGATCCGCAGGGATAAGAACAGGCCGTCAGTCGTGATGTGGTCAGTAGCCAACGAGCCGGCATCGGAGCTGCCCCCAGCAGCTTACTACTTTAAGTAAGTGTGTCTGCTTGTACACAGAGCTGCGGCTTGAATCTCAGCAGATGATGCATCTTCTTCCTTCGGGATGGCACAGAAAAATAGTAAAGAGAGGGCAAGCATTTTTGGGGGAACCCTGAACAGGCTATTCCTTGTTACCAATAGAAGATGAGTGCTAAATTCTTTGGGAATTACAGCAAATCTGTAAAATAATTGGCCTTTAATTCTGAAGACAAGGTTCTTCAGTTAGTGCTACTTATTTGTCCTGCAGGAGATTGTGACACCCCACTTCAGAGCCACTGCTTTGAGTCCCTACAGACCCCTTGGTTTTATTTTTAAAGAGATTTAAGCTTTGGAGAGCCAAGAGTCATCTCTGTAATGGGGGAGCAGACTGTCCCTAATAGCTGTAAGCATATTAAGAGGTAACTGTGAATTTTCATTCTTCAGAATGATCCACAGCCTTCCTGCAATATCGAGGTAGCAGGAGAGCTTAACCACCCCATTCTCTCATCTCCCTCATTCAGGGTTTCCTCAGAAGCAGCCATTGGTGACTGCTCTGCTTGCTGTCCCAAGGGCTAGAGCCTCGAGCTTTTGCAGCAGCACATACCAAGAGTTGTTTAGAAACTTTCTGCTACCCTTCTCACATTTTCATCTTCAACCTCCCTGTCCCTTGTCCAGCTTCCAAGCTGCTGGCACCAATAAATTACCATGCTCATGTTTGGTATACTTTCACTCTGGTCTTTTTTCAGGTGGGATAGCAACCAACTTTGTGAGAGATAGAGGCCTCTTGGCCACATTTGTACTCCTGCAGAGCTGGCTACAATTGCAGGCACTGTGTAGCAGATGGTCACTAAGTATCCTGCAATTCATTCAAATTTCATTAAAAATACTCTGCCCACTAAATCAAGAGCAGTTACCAATGTCTAGGGGAGGGCAGAAGGACAGAGAGCTTGGGGGAATGGGGCTGTGCTTCTCCATGCCGTTGAACTCTTGCTTTACTGTTTGCAAACAGGACAGTGATAGCTCACACGAAAGCTCTCGATCCCTCCAGACCAGTAACCTTTGTGACAGATGTTAGTTACGCACTTGACCGTGGTGTAAGTTCACTTTTTTCCTAGCTTTTTTAAAATTCATACATTAAATTTTCTCTTCTTGTCATTTGCTTTACGGTTCTTCCCCCCCCAACTCCTCAAGTTCACTGGAGATACTTAACAGGGAGAAACAGAAGAAAACTTACATTTTTGTTTCTAGTACAAGCACCTTATCCTGGAGTTGTAGTCCAGCTGAAAATAAAAGGCTGTCAAAGAAGAGGTGTCTTGAGTGAAGTGTGCATGATCAGACCATTGCAGGACCAGACCTCTGGATGCCATAGCCATGCCTTGCTCCTCCACTGATTCCATGATGCTGAGGATTTTCACTTGCAATTAAACCAAAGCTTAAACCTCTTTAAAATGCTAACAGCCCTTGTGGAAGTCTACAGGAAGGAAACTTTGCTTTCATT